GCCCCCCCCCCACCCCCCCATCCTTAGCTTGCGTTTCCTTTCCTGTCCGTCTCTTACGGCAGGAATTAAAATCTAGATAGCATCCCCGTATTTTTGCTACTCATTGAATTCTGTATTGTTCCAATAAGTGTCATTGTGATTTTTCATAAAGAAAAGGTTTCTCCATCGAGCATCTTTTCGTTATTGTTGAAAAATAAGTCTTCGTTATCAGACTCATCTTGTTCAGCCTCTGTATCCAAAATAATTGCCACTTCTGAAAATCTTACACCTTTCAGTTCTTTTTCGGGAGTGTGTATTTTGGCATCAGGTGTTAATGACCGGGCTGACTCACCGTTTCGGTCTATCAGAAAGCAATCCTGCAAGAAAACACGGGCAAGGCAAGGTGAGGCAAAAGACTGTGAATGGTACAGAGGGCACCAATTCTCAGCGAGAGAAGTAGTATGACTTCACACGTGTTCTGCCCCTGAAGCTTGCCAAGACAGCCCTGTTTCACGGCTGCGGGTTTTGGGGGCAGCAGTAAATGGGAACCCTTGCTCTACATACGGTAGAAGATGCAGGAGAATCATCACTCTTTTCGGGACAACAAAGTCCTCGTCATCCTCCTCCTACTCGTAAGCAGAGACGAACGGCCCATCTCAAAAGATTTTCATTATTTCAGATAAGACTTTCCCCCCCCCCCCACAAGAACTTTAAAAAATGGTTGAGTTCAGTTACTGGCTTACAGTTCTTCACTAGTTATTTCAGTTATTTGATGAATAATGATAAAATATCTTTTACTCCAGTCTTTGCAATTGAAAAGTGCGTTACCTGTTTTGTTACGCTTTCTACAGCAGGCTGGGCACCCACATTTCCAGGTTCTGTGTTCTTTTCAGGTGCTACGTTCTCTTCATGTTCACTTTCCAAATCTAACAGCAGCGTCTCAAGATAATCGTATTTTTGTTCAGCCTCAGCTATGTCTTTATCAGCATCACCCCCTTGGGTGTCTTCCATGCTGGTAAACGTCGTGATTTCAGTGTTCCTGAAAGAGAGTTAAGAGACTTCGTAGCACCTTCAGAGAGTTAAGTGACAAAATCTCAGCCTCTTTGTAAGCAGTATGTACACTGGTTTCAAAATCACTGGGATTTTACCCAGGTGAACGTTATGTCGCTTCTTGCATCCTGAACTCTGCATAGAGATCAACAAGTTGCTAAAGAGCAAACAGGAATTTGCCCAAATATAATTTATGTTACAAGACTAAAAAGTAGCAGCTTTCTTCAAACGTAGAGTTTATAACTTACGACAGTAACGGTTCTTCTAAATCAACCTATACATTAGTGAAAGGTACAAGGAACATCCTACGTTATCAGAGTAAAGAAGCCCATCTTTTGATATGCTAATTTTCATATCTTTGTGACATCATTAGCATTCTACTTACACATTATTCATGTGCTCTGTTTTTTCTATGATTTTTGGACTTCCATTTCCATCAGCTACAGCTGCATTATCAAAACCCTCAATAATTTCACTTTGCTTCTCAACGATCCACTGTTGCTTCTTACTTCTGAAAATGATCAATTAAAAAAAAATGGTTCATTCTTTTTGAAGACTGGCTTTACAGGTTTCAAAAAAAAAAAACCATGGAATATTTGTGTCATAAGTTTAAAGCACAACATGTGTTACCAGTATTATTCTGGGGATTAGTTTCACGTATTATTTCCTATTTTTCTGCATAATTGTTAGACTACATATTAATGGTAAAAGACTAAATACCCACTGCCCTCTTGCAAGTCTATTCATTTTCCACAAAGATATGGTCCTGCTGCCGTTGAAGTCAACAGCAAAACTCTCCTTGATTTCGGCATGCAAATTCATGGGAATAGCGGAGAATTACGTGGATAGAGTATAGCTACTTGTGCCCCCCTTCTCAGTTACGATTTCTGCTATCCACATTTCTCTGTTTTAGAAGGATTCTCTTTGCTTTTGCTCTGTGACACACACACAAAAAAGAAACCACCTTTGAGTTGATGTGGAGTAAAAGTAGTATCTAATATCTACAGGAAAAAAGCCTAGACATTTTAATTTACAGCACATCCGAGGCAATATTCCATCCAAATATCAGTAATTTATCAGATAAAAAATATTTTTCAAGTTGACATTTAAAGTAAAGTTACTAGTTGTAAGTGCAATTTAAATGACATCGTTGAAGTAAAAATATTTATACCTTTTTATAGTAAAAAATATGTATACCAGGAAGGCTACAAGGGTGCAGCCCAGCAGAATGCTTAGAACAATAGTGGCAGTAAGTTCAGGGGACATCGAGTCAGCAGGAACCTCTCTTAAGTCAGCAGTAACAGGTGTTTCAAATATTTTTTCCAGTTCTGACTGAATGATGATCTTCTGCTGTGTCAGTTTTCTGAAGATAGAAAAGTAAAATGCTGGTGATTTATCAGACTTTCATTTTGGTCTGCAGAGTACTGAAGAAAAAGAAGAAAATGAGAGAAAACTCGTCCCACGGTCTACCAAGAGCGGACGTCCTTTCTAAAGATTGAGTGTCATGTCTTCCATGGAAAAATTCCAGTTCTAGCCACCAGCCCAGGGGAAGATGTGAACTGTAATGCTGCAAAGCTTGGAACAGTGAGCTTGAGGTACATATCCTCTAAATCCACGTCAAGGCAGCCACATATATCACTTTACAGATACCAGCAGGGCTTTCCTCGGTCAAAAAGTTTCATCAGAGCAGAGCGCTTTCCATGGCTGCAGCCTCCAATGGTATTACCAACCATAAACAATTTCTAGTTAAACACAGAAGTTGAGTCTAGAAATCACATTATGTATTTTAAATAGCAGCTGCCCTTTATGCAATGTTTCGTGAATATTCATTCATACCACTGTCATGTTATGAAATACATATAAAATATACCTAAAATTAAAATATTTAATCAACATTCTGCAATTCTGAAATGAAAGCAATATCTGTTTCAATTATAACCTTTCTGCTTCAGTTTTCCTAAAAACTGACTCTTACGTATGTTTTGCACAATTAAACAGCCATATTCATTTATTTTTGACTAGCTCTGGAAATTACCTTTGAATAATTAATGAGAATTTTTTGAATTCTAAAAGCTCAGTTTGAGCTTTGAGGTAAGTTTCAGGTAAATTATTACTTGGTCTAAACCTGCGCAATCAAGACGTTGATAACTTTAAGGGAAACAAAACCTTCCTGACACCCAGCGGACCAACTGTAAGATACAGACCTTTTTACATCTTCTGCAGGTATTTCTTGGCCTGCCTCATCAACAGCAATAATTTTTAAGTAGGTTACATTCGTGCTTTCTCTTGCTCTTCTTTCATACTCAGTGGAATAACAATCAATGATATATATATTCCATGCAAGTATTTCTTCTAGGACCCTGCCATCATAGTAAGAAAACTTTTTCAATTAACTGGGCAAGGACAAATACTTTTACTCTGGAAATTAAGGGACAGAAAAGTAGCATTTACAATACAATATGTTGCACATACTTAGTGTTTTAATCTAAGGATGTCAAACCACAGCAAAGGAGTTAAGCTATTTGCCCAATATCGTACAGTGACTGAGTAGCAGCAGAGAAAAAGAACGTCCAGTCCCCAGCTCTGACTACTAAACTAAGGTACTTCTCTTTAGTAGATGCTACGTAACCTTAGTACGTAGCCTAAAAATTCTTAGATACCATTAGCATAACTGAACATTTAGGGGAGTAAGGATTAACAAACCGTTATACGTAGATTTCATAACCAATATTGCATAGCATATCGTATATTTAGTCACGCTTTATCAAGCAACATACGGTTCATTTCATGCTTGACGTTATTTTTATAAATACAGGCAATGATGCCTATAGAGCGTTATAAACATTAAAGGTAAGGAGATGGGAATCTGTTCTCAGGAATCTCTTCTCCCGATCCTTCATAAAAAGAGGTATTTTCACACTGGATCAGACCACTGGCCCCGTTAATCCATCATTCTGACAGGAGTCTGTACCAACTACTTCAAAGAAAGGTGCAACGAGTAGCTCTAGGGCTTACACCTAGTCTTCACCAGTGGGAAATCAGTGGTGTGACAGGGTCAATGTTACAAACTGATTTTTCCATCCTTTAAAGTGATCTTCCCTCAAAAGCATAGGACTCAAGGCCTCATATCGCCAGTGAAAATACCTGTTTATATATAATCGAACAAAACCTTTTTGGGTCTCATAAACAAGCCAAAAAGGTCAATATACATTTTTAACTATACTGTGACCATCCACACATTGCTAGCTAATCCCCTACTGCTGTAGGGCTGAGACCCTCTTGAGGAGCACTGCTGCTGTGCCGCAAGGGGGATTTTTCATTTGTAGCAAGGCTAGTTTTGGTTTGTGGATAGGATACTTGTCTTAGGATACTTGTCAGAGAAAGAAAGGTCAGTACATCCTCTCTCCTGTCCGTCTCCACGTTTTTATCTTGGGCCATGCTGCTCCTTCGGTGGCCAGTTAAAGCATATTTTCCATAGACAGAGCTAGACTTGCATGATTTACAGAAGGAGAGGAAGTTCACATTAATGCAATATAATTTGAGTATATTAGCTCTTCTCCTGATATGATTTCAGTTCGTAAGACTGAGAAAACCTCATAAAAATTAAAAGTCTGTGCAAAGGGCAGAGCATTCGGATGGCAGACCCATGAACCATCTGTTAACTTCTCTGTTTAGAAAAACTAGAGATAGCAACATGATTTTTAGTCCTACTACCAATAAAAAGCTTTATCCTCATCTGTTGAAATTCATAGAAATGTTGAGGTAGGAAGTGACCTCTGGAGATTATCTAGTCCAAAGACCTTTTCACAGTCTTCAGCTCTGGCCAAAACCATACCAGGAAAAAAATTGGCATATCTTTCAGGTGGATTCCTGTGGACTCCCTGAAATTATTCTCAATTATATCAAGTTGAAAGCTTGGCTTTTCACAGACCCAGGCTGTAATACATCCCCTGTAGACTCTCAGACCTCTATGTCAAAGGGACTCTAAATTTGTCAGTAGATATATCAGAATAAGCTTCATAGCTTCAACAATACCTTTTTATTTCAGCAATATTTTTTTCAACAGCATTGATCATCTGATTAAGAACAAGTACCACAATGTTGTTACTGGAGCTGGCATCAATGGTTACCTACAAAATGAAAAAATCACACGTAAGGTTTTCTGAAGTATTTATATCTCTCTCTTCATACCCAAGACTGAGTTCCAAAAAAAAATCTAATTGTGAGGCTAAAAATGAGAAATCATAACTTTCCATGTCAACAATTTCAATAGAAATAAGCTGTTAAAATAGTATTACAGGCAATTCAAAAATTGAAGAATTGATTAAATTGGAATGGAACAAATATGGAAGGCTACTATGCCTGTGAGCAAAGTTTCAGGGAAAAGAGTTTTCCAGATTTTCCCTTCTTGCATTCTGTTTTTTCACACACGTAATCCCATGAAACAGATTTCTAAAATTAGGTATGAATAAATTCTGAAAACATCTAAATTTCTCTTCATGATCTCCATTTATACCCATCATTTACTTACGATTTATTATAGATGCAGTATTTAAAGGACTCCGCTATCTAACTACAGTTTTACATGTCAAGCCTTCACCGGAGCGGCTGGGATTTGGATAGCAGGCTAAAATGCATCTGCTATGCAGCTACGTGGAGGTCATACGCTAACAAAGAGGATATCCTGGGGCAATTGCACAAGGAGGGTGGAAGGGAAGTGGTATCAAACTTGCAATACCTGATGCAGCCCCCGAGTTGAGGTAAATCTTTTCCTTGCAAGGAAAAGAAAACTAAAGAACAACCTCCTCCCAGGAATAAGGTGTATGTATGTGTGTGTGGGGAGGGGGGCAGGGGGCAGTCATTTTTCTGTGCTCACAGTTACTGCCAAGCACTTCCCTTCAAAGTCTTACCCGAAGGCTCCCTTATCTCAAGACAACTGTTAATTTAGTCATGGCCCGAGTTATGTAAGAGATTAATTTGGTCCATAAGTGTAATTGTCCTCTAAAAGTCAATTTTCATGTCAACATATTTTTCCTTGTTAATGGAAATGGCAACCTAGTAATTCTGGCCTGGGATTATATACTTTGTATTGGTACATCTAGCAGACTCACAATACGGTAGTCAATTTTTTTTTTTTTCATTACCAAATTAGCCCTCCCTGACAGATTTTTGACATGGAAGCAAAACAGCACTATATAGCGATCTTCCTTACATTGACAGTTGCCTGGGCTGTGAGTCCTCTCCCACCTTGGTCTGTAGCTTGGACTTTCAGATAAATTGTTCCAGCCCATCCTCTTACAGAAACTGTAAAAATCTGCCCTGTATTTTCATCGATGTCAAACTGATTGGTTCCGTGACGCTCTAAGCTGTACCGCAGCAGGCCGTTCTCTCCCGAGTCTGGATCCGTGGCCTGGGTTCAAAAAAAGAAAGGCCATTTGTGAAACTCAGCTTGTGGCTTTTGGGCTCTACTTCACTCTTCAAACATAAAACTCTCCAGTTTGTAAGACTGGAATATTCCAGGATAGTGGCTGTCATATTTTTTCCTGTGCACTAAACAAAAGCAGAGCACAAACTCAGAATCAGACCAGGGCTATAAAAGCAGAAATACAATTTCCATAAAGCCTGGAGGATTCTACTGCTGCAACAATAAAGGAAGCAGGCTACAGGAACTGAAGGAAAACATCAGACGCGAAAAGGACAGCTATGAGAACTGCTCCATTTTGTAACTCTCTTCCCCTTTGGGTCCGACAGATAACAAAGCAGTTAACAGCACCAAAGAGTGAGCAGTAGTCTATGCAGTATAAAAGCCTTTAGGGACCACACAATAATAGCATTAAGTCAGAACAGTCTGCACAGCTCTTCTGACTGACCCACTCGTAGGACAGGTATGGACTGGTTCCCTTCACCTGCACTATGTGATGCCTGGATGATGGGCAGAATCTGGCTCAAGTTTCAAGAGCAGATTTAACAGTTCCTTTAACCTAGTTTACTTGTGGAGGAAATCCAAGCCTTTCAAAAGCCTTCCCGTATGATGAGGGCAGAAAGATACTCTACCTGAACGGTAATAACTGGGTACTTGTACGGCACGGAGTTCAGTATCCGAACTGAGTAGACACTATTCAGAAATGCTGGCTCTTCGTTTACATCTTGCACTGAGATTTTCAGCATTGCCACATTTTGAGAAAACAGGCCTATTAAACAAACGCAAGTTAACTCTGGCCGCTGCTCAGACTCATGTCAAACAAACATCAACAAAAGCACAGCTTCCAGATGCTGGGCCAGGCTGTGGCTTTACGGCAGCATCTGCTGCATGTGAGGATGAGGGAGGAGGACGGGAGCGCAGCAGAGAGATGCCTAGAGGAGCTTGCTCTGTCTCCGCCGGGGCTCTGGCAAGAACAGGCAGTGCAAGATAGAAGGCACAGCACTGCTGCTCCCTCAGCCCTCTCCAGCTGGCTGTGCTGTGCCAAGCAAAGGACAGGCAGGTGCTCCAGATGGCGCCGAGGAGCCCAATGCCCAGCTACTACATTCTCCTCTGACACTGTGGTAGGGCCCTCTGGGGGTGTGCGTCTGCTGAGGAAGGCTGCCTCTTGGTGCACCGCTGCAAAATGCTGACCTTCAGCTTGTCATCCTTCACATATTCTTTTCAGTTAGAGAAAATCATGTTTTCTCTCTAGTTGGTTGCAAATACAGAAGACAAATGTCATGTGTTCATCACCCCTGATTCAAGCTGGAATGCCCTTCAAAGGAAAAGTTACCTGAACGCTGGACTTGTGCGGCAGATGAGGGACTGTCGTTTGCTTCAATGAAAATTACATACTGAGAAACTTTCTCATAGTCCAAATTAACTGCTGTTTTCAGCTGACCACTGTTTGGATCCAATCTAAAATGACCTGCAAGGCAAATATGCACCTTAGTTGTTACTGTTACCATTTCACTTGTATCCTTCCTACCTGTTGCGTTTTGGTTGCTCTGTGGATGCTTCCATAGGCCCTCTGCCCTTAAGAATGTGAAATGCACTACCACCAAGGGCTGAGCAGCAAAGGCATCACAGCTGGGACCCTATCCTAGACCAAACAGGCTTTAAACATGTACGGGAGCAATATGCTTGGAAAACAGAACTGCAGCTTCTAGTTGCACAAGTCCTTTTTCACTTGTTTTGCAGTCTTCGCAGTTTTTCCATCAGTTTTTAATTATTCCAGTTTTCTTTGTGGCAAATGGAGTCACATCAGCGTTGCAAGAGCGGACAAAGCTAGATGCCTCAAAGTAGGTGCAAGTGCAAGGAAACAGTAGACTATGAGTGACTGGTAGAGAGGAAGCTGCTGGCTTACGGCCATTTCTATTTTGGCTCCCTTAGCCTGTAAATTATTCTGACTTAAGATGCAGAAACTCATTTGCTGGCAAGTTAGATCATCAACTCTCTAGTCAAAGAAGATTAACAAATTCTCATGCTAAAGAGCTCTGAAAGAAATAAATTCTTTCTTAAAAAAAAAAAAAACACACACACACACACAAATTTTTATCCTTGCTCTCCCTCTCCTCGTTAAATACAGCAGTGTCTGCCACAGAAATGACAGGTTAGTTTATTATCTTAGCTTTTTTAAGGCAGAAAGGAAATAATACTTACCTGCTTCATTGCCAGATACAATTGCATAAACAATCTGTTTTCCTAAAGTTTCAGCCACAGCAAAGGTGTAAATTAAATGATCCACTCCTGTATTTTCCATAACTGAAACACTAATATAGAAAAGAAATGACAAATCATAATGTTAAATTTCGTAACAGTTATTGTGCTGGCAGAGTTTAAAATTTAATTCCTTAAGAGCAAGTTTTCTCCCCTCTAGATGTTTGCTAGAGCTCACTGGCCTTCAGAGTGCAGTGTAATTTCTACCTTTCCAGCCAGACACTTGTTTATCCTTGAGTAAAGGCCAAGGAGGATTTTCATTTGTGGACGGACAAGAGAGAATGTATTAGCGTGGACAGCACTTCTCATATTCTATTAACAATGACTGCAATAAAAATCAATACTTGTTTATTAGCGTGCAAGAAGAAAGGGACAAAGAGGCTGATTTACACAAGCTGCACAACAAAGAAATAAAAGATAACGCCCAGCATCATGTACACAGAACCACGGGAGTAGCAGGATTTCCTGGACTGGTTATTTAAAAACTAATGTCCTTTCTTCTAAGTGAAGGAAAGGGAATTGCTATGAAACTTAGCTTCAGTTTTATTAGGTTTTCCACGACATGGAGAGTATGCACCAGTTATATGGAAGTTATATGGAACTGAATATGGAAGCCTCACCTGATTTCCGTGTTGTTAAACTGAGGAACAAATGGACGGTTGTCAAGTACATTAAGAGTAATCATAGCAGTGCTGTTTAATGATGGAGAGCCTTGGTCTTTCGCCATTACTGTTAAAAGGATCTTTCCAGATCTGGACAGGTTTCCAGTTGTTATTATTTTCCCCTCACTCCTGTCTTCTATCAAGAAGAACTGGCTGAAGTTTAGATCAGGGAGGATGTAATATTCAACACGGCCATTTTGCCCCTGCCATGAAAGGAACACAACTGCATATAACTATTGGTTGCAGCACCATATCATTTCAATGCTTTAAGTCTTGTAGTACAGACTCACTGGAATCCTAACATTTCCATGCCTAAATGGACAGAACGCCAGAGGCATTTTAAATACCCAGAGAGAACCGAGCTCAGAGTTACTTGGTGCTTAAGCTGTAACACAAGAGCAGCAGCATGGGAAAGGGCCAATGGACACAGTTTCTTCCAGAAAATTATTTCTGGTATTCCAAAAGCCATACACATTTATAGCCTACAAAATATCCTTACATAACAAAGCATTTAGTGTTCTGCCTTAGGTATATCAAGGGCCCTGAGTTCGGCACAAACGTCTGGCCTATTTCAGCTCAAACAAAAACAGTAACGCACTAATTTTGAGAGCAAAGTTCACAGATTAGAACTTCTAATTCTAGATTTTCAGAGAGAGGAGAGGAGGAGGACGTTAATAAGTCAATGCAGGAAGTGAAGATTTCTTTGAAATCTTCTAGACTCCCCATGTGACTTGAGACAATGTGCTTCAGATTCCTCACCTGTCAAAGTGAGGTAGAAACAGCTGTTCAGTTGCCATAAAGCTTATTGGTTCACACTATCAAATATCCTGGAAGCTATATTTGGATATCGCTGTTAACAGTAATAATGAATTTGCAGGGGAAAAATTCCCACAGCGATACTAAAGAATACTACATGCACTGTGAGTACATTTTGAAGGGTAGGAACAATTTGTATTTCATGCCTAGAGAATGGAGAAAAATCTATTTGGGCTGCAGCTTAAAGCAGTCTCAGAATCAAAAACGAGTAGTTACCTGATCTTTGTCTGTGGCGTTCACAGTTATGACATGAGCACCTACAGGATTAATCACGTTTATAGAAGCGGAATAGGAATTCTGAAGAAATACTGGAGCATTATCATTCACATCAATCACTAGAACCATGACAGTAGTAGTTGCCTAGAAAACAAAATGGTTTCCTGCATTTTAGAATATTTAGAATGTCTTGTTTAGTGATAAAGTTTTGTTATTTGCATATGCAACAAAAAGCATTAATTAGACTTTGAAAATGCTCTTCTGAAGTACCAGGCTAGGTTTCATTTTGTGAACTCAACATCAGAAATCACTGCAGGATTTTAACATAAAAGAGAGAGTAAATTCAAAGTAACAGTAGGATTCTACTTTTCGAGAGATTTCTGAATAAATAGGAACAGTATGTATTTCGGAGGCCAGCAGGTCATACTGCAGGTGCTAGATCAGGATACGGGAACCACCACACGTTCTAGTTTTGTTAAATAGGCTTCTAATAACTTTTCAAATAAAAGAAACACAGCAGAGCTAGAACAATTTGCTGCAAATTACTTTTGCTGCCACGGAAAATTATCAGAGTATTTACAGTGTTAAGTAACAGCAGCAGGCAAGAATTCCTGTTCTGCAGCACAGGTTGGTGAAACAATTCAGTGTCAAATTCTACTACGCATAATTATGGAGTATTTGGACTAATTATAAAGTGTAGTACTTCTCAGCACGGGCACAGGTAGCAAAAATATGACTCTAAGCATGATTAGGTGACTACTTTCTTGTGCACAATAAACATCTTTCGTAGACCTCCCTCCCACTAGTTCAAATCCACTCTGACTAGGAACGTCACTGTTCATTACAGTAATGCTCTTTTACCTGATAAAAAGGGGCAGACTTATTGTTGACTGCGCTCACTGTAAGGCTGTATTTATTCATGGTTTCATAGTCTGGAGAGGTCTTTATCTTAATGTCCCCGTGTATTTCATCAATTTCAAATATATTTCCTCCACCACCTGAGATATAGTCAAAGAAGCATTATCAATTAATACATCTTAGAAACACATAATTAACTACACTCTTACGTGATACCTGTCTCTTAAGCTGATGAAGATCCTTTTTTAATATAGTAGGGGTAACATAGAAGAAAAACAGAGAAGATTTTGAGTGGAGGAGCAATTGAAACGTGAGCCAGCAGAATGGGTCAACAAGTCCTGCAGACAGATCTGTTTCACTCAAAAGTTAATAGTGCTTATGCTTACAGGGCATGTAAATGATGATGGACAGTACACTGGAATATGGGGATGAACCTCTGGAAACAAGTTCCTCCATGCTTGTGTAACTGTAGGATCAGAGGACACAAAGGCCTTTTACAGTCCTCGGACCTTCTGTATGTTCAGTCTCAGGTTACTGGTTGCAACAGTCATGAAGCACTGTAACAAGATAGTACTCCGGCCAAGAGTGCTAGGAAGAAATGTCATTAAATTTACTCTGGCTCTAATGAAGGTGGCCTGAATGACATACCCATCTGGAGAGAAAACAATTTGACTACCAAAAGACAGTGATTTTGACTGTTTTTGGCCACCCTTGTCCAAAGACATATCAAAAACTGTGTGCATATTGGAAATAAAAGATCCTAAAATACATAAGCTGTATATACATCTACTCATGATAGTCCAAACACCAGAAACAACTATTTCAACTCCTGGAGGCTTTGGTCCATAAGGCTCTAAATCTCCATCTCTGTCAGGTTTAGGTGCAGGGGCAAAGGAGTGTTTTTCCCAACTGTGATGCTATCAGCTACCACAGTTAAATGAGATAGGAAGCCCGAACCAGAGCTCTCAATCACTACTGCAGTTCCCTAGCTGGCACGTTAATGAAAAATGAAATTGCAGGCAGTTTACATTAATAGCCTGGGCAGAGATCTGAGGCAGCAGAGTAGGTGACACGGTGCCTGTTGTGCCACTTCTGCTGCAGGCGTAAACAGTACAAGCGTGAAGCAGACAGCTCTCCAGCACCCCTCAATAGTGAATCAGGTCCCTGATGCTTTTGTGATACCATTTACATCTGCTCAAAGTAGCGGTGAAATGCTCACAGTTCACAAGATGAGCAGACGCTTAACTTAGCAGCATTTGGCACCTTGTGGCACAGGCACAAACAGACAGGGCTGAATTAGGCCCTAAGACCTTTATTCGTCATTCAAGAAAGCTTTTTTTTTTTTTTTTTTTTTTAAATCAAAGTTACTCCTGCTGATTGCAGCTAAAGCGCTGGAGCAGTTAAAGAAGTTTTAGAAATATGACGTTTAATTGTAATTAAGGGTATGATTAAAATTACAAAAATTGCAGTTCCTGCAAGAGAAGTTGCTACTCAACCAGTTCAAAGATTCTGTGAGCATAAATTAGGAAAATAACAAACCAGGCAAAAGTGAAACTCCTTGGCGTATGTGGAAAGGGATGAGCAGATAGCATGCATAACGCTATTTATGCTCCTAAGAGTGTAGACAACAAAGTGACCATTGTTTCAGTGCAATAAGAGAATCCCTTGTTACCTGTAAGGTTATACAGAATGAAGGCATTGTCTCCCACGTCTCTGTCAGTTGCTGTGACTTTTCCAACTATGAATCCCACCAGCACGTTTTCATTTACACTGAATGTATTCACTGGATCAAACACAGGTGGCCAGTCATTAACGTCAATAATCTTTACGACAACAGTGCAATAACCCCTTTTCTTCTCAGGGATTCCATCGTCTTCAGCATATACCACAATCTGTAGGTTGCACAATTATTGATAATGGAATATAAATAGGTATTTGTATAAGGATTAAAAGATCTGGATGATTCTTAAACTTTGGAGTAGTCTTAGTAATTTAAACTCAAATTTTGAACTCACTTCAAAATAACTATTGAAAAATTAAGGCGTATTTGTTTGATTTAAAAAGTCTTTCTATACGGAACAAACTAATTCACCAGTATTTTTTCCTGAAGCAAAATAGGTTCATAAAGAATATTCAGTAGTGGCAGCAACAACAAGAGAAGTTTTAATTGAGGGTCTTATCTCCAAGATCGCAGTCCAGTAGAGGTTCAAGCAAAGAGACAACACCGAATACATGAACTGTCACCATGAAGTTAGTTATTCATGTGCTCAGGTGTCTGAGTGTTTGCCGGACTGGGAGTCTATAAGCCTTGCTTGAATTTCAGGTAAGGCATTACAATCTGCGTCTTGCTTTAATAATGAATCATATCTTGAGATGCACGTTTAAAACAATGCATAAAGTTTTCAAGCCTGATCAAGCTAAAAGAAAACAAAAATGTCACCAATTATCGTAGGGAAGGATAAAGAGCTCTGAATTATGAAATGGTTTAAGAAATCTAAAGCAAACCTGATATTCTGTAGCTTCTTCTTCATAATCAAAGGAGACAGTGGAGTAAAGAATTCCCGTAGCTTCATCTATTCTGAATTTTAGTCTGTCTCCACTGAGAATGCCATATGTTAGGAAACCATTTCTCCCTGCATCATTATCCTGAGCTTTCAGCTGCACAATCTGAGTAGTAGCGGGTGAATTCTGTCAAGAAAGAACAGATTGAGGCTGTCACAGGCTTTCGTTAGCTGCAATTTCTGGAATTATATGAAGGAGGGGTAGCAGACACCACACTTACAACAGTATAGACACTTTTAAATTAAAATTACACAGTTCATTCAGCACAGTAGGAGAATCTCTTGTTTTCTGTAATACAAGAGTTATGTTCTATGTAATGCATAGAACAGTTATTTGCCCCCCATTTCTATCTAAAGCAGTGATCTTCAGGGACAATCACCATGTTTTCAAATAGGACCAATGATAAACACAAGTGTCTGGCTTGCCTTTAAGGAATTACTAAAGTTCAATAACATCTAGTCCTCCTTTGAAACTCAAGAGACATTCTCAACTTCAAAATCATGTTTCTGTATGAATGCTATTTGGCTAATAACCATTCTTCTCAGCTGTGAGGACAGAAGAAAAATTCTCTATTCCTTCCTTTAAAAAAAAAACTGTTATTTGCATTAACATTGACAGTAAATATCAGTGTTTCACTTGTACAGCTGTTTGAGACCCGATCTAAAGTTACATGATCCAACGGGACATCCAACAGTTCCCTCCTGTATAAATATTTCACATGCAAATTAATTTTTAAGTTTGAGAAAGGTGATTCTAACTCTTCCCCATTAAACTAACTGGGAACTTTAAAAATATGTGTAATAGTTACATCTATATTTAGCTCAATGTTAGAAATTGATTAGATAAGATTAGAATGTCTTAAAGAGAATTTACGTGAACCAGCTGGTAATACCAGGCAAGGTATGTGCTATAGAAAATAGAAACATGATCAATGCGCTTCTTTTAAAAAAAATATCTAGCAGATGAAAGTATGAAAAGTGTTGTTTAAAATGCAAAACAGTGAAATGTTGGGCTAGATATTTTTGCATAAATAAATGCTGTGGCTTCCTTTGCAGGCTTCCAAAACATAACAGCAGGAGAATGAAATCTGCCTCGTATCATGCTATGGATAACTTCGGGGCAGGAAGAGTCATAATAGATCATATTTTATCAAAAGGAGAAATGGTGCTACTTTAGAGGAGACTTCGGCCTGCTATTTCTCTGTATGAAGCTCCTTTACAAGCTGATAAAGGGTCTGCAGGGTGACAAGCGCGTCCACTAGACTGGAAATGCACAGTAAGTTGCCCTGTGCACAAATATGCAAGATGGAGCGGCTATTTTTTGCTTCATGGGGACCTTCGTTAGCAAAAGCTTCCCTTTTCCTTCAATATGTTCACATTTCTGGGCCTTTCTCTTTAGGTATGGGAAGTTTCAGGTGGAAACAAACCCTAGAACATCATATGGCAGAATGGTAGGCCCCTCCAGTTCCAGGATGATTACTTGTATAATCAACATAAGACATTTTTTATTATTTTGAGGGTTCATTTTTGTGATTCAGTTTGGGATTAAATTTTCTTACCTCTTCCAATTTTTCTTCTACTAGAGAGGATGAGAAAACTGGAGGGAAATTGTTTTCATCAATGACTTCTACAGACACAGAAACTTGATTATGTATGCCATGGTTAGATGAATCTGTTGCTTGCACATTAAAAGAGACTGGAAAGTGTTCTACTGTCAAATTCTTTCTTGTTCTTATGATACCAGTGGATGGATCGATATAAAATACCCTGTTAAAAAAAAAAAAACAGAAATTATTCTATTATTTTATTATTTTTTAAACTGAAGATATGGGCCCCTTAATGCAAGCTACATATTATGTATATGACTATCATCTGTTACGGTGTCCTTCACAGAACAAAATAAAATACAATATGGATTTGCATGAATGTCAGAAGTATCTAGGGCTATAATTAACACAAAAAAAATATTTTAGAAGGCCAGGATGGGAACAACAGGGGAGAAGCTCACAATTCTCCAGCAGGAGTCCTTCACCTTCCCCTGAAATAGTGAGAGATTATTTGATTGTGATTCAGTCAGCAATTATTGTCTTTCCAACGAACGCCCGTTCTTACTGACAAGAGGAATTTGCCAGTAACTTTAAGGGGACCACAGCTTCATGCAGAACACTTTACAAAAAAAGAAATACATGGAGGCTACATGTGATGTAAAAATATAATCAGTTCTAGGGCTTTTATTATCAGTAAAAAGAAACACCTGACTCAAAGCACTGATCCAGGTGATCCCATGTAAATTCACTCTATATGTTCAACTTTGTTAAGAAAATGTTGATGAGTTAGTTTTTCACCACCGAGACTTATGCTGGACTAGGTATTGTCTTTCCACTCCACTGTAACTTTATGCCTAACCAGGTACCACCTGATCTCCTGCAGCAGACATGAAAAAGCATAAAGCCAGTGAATCACGTCTGTACTATGTGGCTCTAGCTAATCTGACAGAAATTTGGTCATGTGCCCACACTTGATCCATACCAAATTTGTACAGCTGGATGATACAATAGTCTATACATCCAGTATTAACACGGGTAGAACTGAGATAAAAAGCAAAGGAAGAGATAGAAGAAATAATCCAAAAGCTAAATGCTCTGTAGCAATAGTTCTTTAACACACCTTCTTCCTTCTTATTTCACGTAAACAGTTTACCTTTTCCATAGCTTACCGTTTACATCACCAGATACAATACTGTATATCACGGGGACCTTATACAACACACTGATCTGTACTACGAAAGTATCTGGCAGCGCCTTCTCACTCAGAGGGGCAGGTTGATAGACTGCTTCAGAGAACACTGGGAATGAAATGTTGATGGGAGCAATCATTACTGACACCTGCAGGGAAAAAAAACATGACCACAGTGGTCATATAGCTATGGTTTCAGGTTTAGCAGAATTTTCAGGATCACAACAGTAAAAGTCTAGAACTTTGTCAGAAAGAAAAAGTTTATGATTGCTGCATGCTGAGTTTGACACGTTCATATCTCGAAGGTAGCGAAGGTTAGTGAAAGATGCCAGCGACCTCATTAGTATAGGTTCACCAGTATGTTTTCCTAAATATAGAGAGGGATTCCAGTTCATCACATGCAACACACTTCAGATGATCTGTCTTGCTAAACAGTTTTCAGAAAGAGGTACTAATCTGTATTTGTAACAGATTTTTCCACACGGTATGTGTATGAGCAGAGCAGGAGTTGCGAAACAGGTCTGGAAGTACACAGCTTTAAAGTACTGTATATATTTAAAACAATTAAAGCTGATTTTATATATGAAAAATGGTGGCAGTCTATAAATAAATAATGCCTCATGTTTCACAAAAATAATGACAACTTCTTTCTAAATGATGCCAGCCAGCTGCTGTCCAATGCTCTGAAGAATGAGGGCTCATAATTCTACATTTTTAAATTCAGTTGAATGTAATTTTGGACATGTTTTTGTCCATACACATTTCTAGTCCTTTTTTGAATTCTGTGTGAATTTTAAGCTGTGATGTTTAGCAAAAGTTCACCAGGCAGTTATAAGCAGTGTAAACACTTTTTCTTTTTTTCACATTTAAATATCTCACTCTTCAATTTAAAAGTCCTTTTTTTTTTCCTTGTATTATAGAGAATAAACCGGAACATCTGACTTGCTGTCTCCTGTTTACCATGTCACATACTTCCATTACATCCCCTCTTACTGTCCCACACTTTTGACCTTGCATAGAAGTCTCCATTCCTCTAATATTCCTCCCTCGTGGTCCATAGCTTCTGTCTTTGCTACATCTTTTCTGAAATGGAATGATCAAAACAATGATGGGTGGTGCGTCAGCAATGGCTACAGTGGCATAACTCTATAAATGCTGTCATTCGGTATCCCATTCTTGAAACAGAGCGGGACTTTGACGTTCTGACTCCAGTTTTGTGGTTTTGCCTCCTAATGCCCATTCCCTGGAGGAGTTACCCTCAGCTTAGAATAAAACAATTTGGTGAATAAACTGTGCAAGCAGATACCGAGGCAAAAATTTCAGTACCTTGACAGAAGATGAAAGAGGTGGCAGACCCAAATCCGTAGCAGTGACTGTCAAAGAGTAATACAGAGGAACAGTCTGCTTTGACAAGTCTCTTGTTAAAGTGAGTTGTCCTGTGGTACTGGAAAGATTAAACAGGCCTTCTGAGTTTCCATCTGAAGAGACAAAAACAGGTGATGGAAATGTTCAACAGAGCCAGCTGAGTCAAGTGACTGAATTATAAGCCCAGATTTAAGAGACATGGTGGAAACTGTAATCAGTATATGTGATTTGGCACAAAATATCCGGACTCTCTTGATTCTTCATCTAAATCACAGAATCATTCAGGCTGGAAGGGCCCTCCCGAGGCCTCCAGTCCAACCGCTTGCTCAAAGCAGGGTCATCACTGAATTCAGATCAGGCTGTTCAAGGCTTCATCCTGTCAAGTGTTGAAAACCTCCGAGGATGGCCTCGCTGTGCAACCTGTTCCAGTGTTTAATTATCCTCATAGTGGATTTTGTTTTTCCTTATATCTATCTAGTCAGAACTCCACATTTCAGTTTATAATCATTGTCTCTCTTCCTCCTGTCGTGCATCTCATGCTAGCATAGAGCCTAGCTCCATCTTCTCAGTAACTTCCTCCTGGGTATGGGAAGAGAGATCCCCGACGCACCCTCCCTTCATCCGCTGCTGGTACTTGCTCTCCTCCTTGGCCCTTGCCTCCCGTCACAAACGCCTGGAATACCTTGCCAGTGAGGACCAAGGCAGAGATGGCACTGAGTATGTCAGTTGTACCTGTATCCACTGTCACTAAATCATCCATCACAATAGGCAGTGGGCCCACGTTTTCCTTTTTCGTTCTTTTACTGCTAATGAAATGGGAGAGACTCTTTTTGTTGGCCCTGACATACGCTGCAAGTGTCAGGTTTGGGTGAGCTTTGGCTTTCTTAGCACACTCTGTACGTGCCCAGGCAATGTTTTCACAGTCTTCCTTTGTAGCCTGTCCTTGCGTCCACCCTGGTATACTGCCTTTTGCCCTGGGGTTCAGTCAAAAATTCTCTGTTTAGCCAAGTCAGTCTTCTAACACATCCAATTATTTTCCTGAGCAGCAGGAGGGACCAGACCTGTGCTTGATGGATGCTGGCCTTAAGGATGAACCAACTCTCTTGAACTCCTTTGCCCATCAGAGCTGCCTCCCACAAGATCGCACCTATTAGTTCCCTGAATAAGCTGAAGATTGGTGTCCTAAAGTCCAGGGTTTGTACTCTCCTGCTTGCCTTCCTCACCCCCCTTAGGATCTTGAATTTCATTATTTCAGGATCACTACAGCCAGTGCTGCCATTAATTATCCCATCCCCAAGCAGTTCGTTCTCGTTCATGAGTAAAACGCATGAAATAGTACTTGCTTTCACATAGCGGTGTCAGAAACTGTATCAAGGGCTGACGGTTTACAAACTCCCTATTGGGAAGCTGGGAGCTGAGCATCAATTAAGAACTGGGTCTTCCAGGTGCCTGCTTTAAGGTTATGCTGTCCTTGATGCATGATAGCTATAGAGACCACATACGCTTTGTAGACGCTGTTATTGCGATGTAACTGTTAGAGCTTAGAAATACTCAGCCATACATGGTCTCCCCTGTTCAAATGTACCTGCCCTATCTTGTGTTTTGTTAGATTCCAAATTCAAGGTAGTCTTGTAACTGAAATCTAAAATTCCCAATGACTTCTGTGGGACAAGGATGTCCTACTTTGTTTCACTGGAAGCCTCCATCCTGACTGGAGTTTTTGGATACCTCTATAATATAATTTCTCTTTACATTTTAGTTCTGTGCATGGATGATTCGTAACACTGGACTTCTATGGGATTTTTACAGATGTAGGGTTTCATTGTACCTGACTTTTGCAAGTTCGCTTCATTTTACAAAAAATGTTAACAATTTATCAGGATGCAAGTACTCTGGTAATAAGCACCCATGAGAGTTTTTCTAACATACCTGTAATATTGTAGAATATGCCTTCATCATAACTTTTGTTTTCATCTCTTGCATTGATATCTACTACCAGTGTGCCAGCTGTAGAATTGTCAGGAAGGATCTGGTGATATGAGGGCTTGTCAAATAGGGGTGCTTCTTCATTAAGATCTTCCACGGTAACTAAGAAAACAAGGTACATGTCTGAGCGCAAATACGAGTTTCACCTAAATGGTTACAGGCTATTTCTTCAGCTAATATAAACCGGCAGAGCTCCTTTGAACTAAGTTGGAGTTCTTTCAGTTTAAATCAGAGAGCAACATTGTTTTCCATACTTCAAAACTCCTGCCTTTGTGGATTATTTACTGCCCAGGTAATAGTTTCCTCACAATGGCTGAACTGCTAGCATACTGTCACTACTATCTGTCATGAATAATATCATCCTCTTGTTTCTCTGGGCTTCCTTCTATGCCTCTGTTAATCTGATCTCTCTTGTCGTTAGCTTAAATCGCAAGAACCGACAGACAGGATTGGTTAGTTCTATGTTTGTACATGACCTGGCACAGTAGGGTCACGGCCCACAATTAGTGAAGCAGAGCCCTACAGCAACATAAGTAACGCAGAACAAAAAGTAACGTGATGAACACTTTCAGTCAAACTGATTAAAACTAGGGCTGGCAAAAAAAAAAAAAAAAAACAGGACAACAATTTCACAAACATCATTTGTGTTGTTTTCTATTTTACAGAGTTTGGAAAAAAGTCCTACTTTTTGCAGAAAATCTAAGATGGTAGTGTCATTTTAACTTTATTTTTGTAACATTTAAAAAAATTCAATTTTTTTCACCAATCAATAAGTAGCTTTACAGTAGATCAGCTGAATGATGATTTTGTAAATTTTTTCAATCAAAATGTCAAAAGGTACTCTAAAAATGCTATAGAAAAATTTGTGAAAGCATTGAAGTAAGTAATGTCAGTGTGTGGGAAAAAAATCGTCATTTTTGACCAAAAAACCCACAACCTTTTTTGAGAAAAAATAATCTAGCAATAGTTAAAGATGTCATATCATCAATTCTAATAATTTACTTTGGCAGACTGTATTACTGTTGAAGTCTGTGCTGAAATATTCCCTACGAGAAACCAATGTAAATTTTCTCTAGTAAACTAGAGCTACCTGTAATGTTTGCTGTGTCCTGTAAATATGGTTCTGCAGGATTGAAAGCTTTCAGAATAAATGTATGCTGGGCACAACTTTCATAGTCCAGAGGTTGAACAGTTGTAATATTTCCAGAAAGTTCTCCAACATAAAATGAAGAAGTCTCTCCAATTATAGTGTAACGAATAATAGCATTGTACCCTATGTCTTTATCCATGGCTGTTGCACTCAAAATCTAAACAAGAAAAAAAGGGTTTAGAGCAGAACGAAGGGAGTGGCAAAACAGACACATAAGGTTGGTATTTAACTACATGCTATTACTGCCTGAATTACTCATCTGTCCATTAATGGCATTGCTAGAATACTGATGCAGCATCTAGCAGCGCAAGTAACGGAGATATCTTAGGTTACGCCTCTTTCTTTGATTCTTGTGAACCACTAGTTCACATCTGCAAGGTGGATATGGAGCCAGAAACGGATATACGGGGGGAAGGACAGGACATCTTAAGAGTGAGGAAGTCCTGGATACACGCACAATGCGTAGAGCAGCAACATGCTGCCTGTAGGTCCTCTGCAAACTGGATCTGCATGGTTTGGCATCACTGCTAAGGGCAGAAGAGGAAGGGAGAAGGACATGAAGAGAGCTTTAGGAACATTCAGTGTGAGGGACACTCCACTGTCATATAAAAATAACGCACTGTCTGGTTTTGTAGACCCCCCCACAGTCAAAACAACATATACACCACTGCACAGTCATCATGGATTAGTACCACTTCTAAGCTGACACAGGCAGTACAACTGCAGAAGAACAGGGTTACTTATTCTTAATGCCACGTACCACATGTGGAGGCTCATTCTCTTTTACAGCCACAGTGTACGATTTCTGGGGGAACACTGGTGGGTTGTCATTCACATCTTCTACAGTGATGCTTAAAACCAAGCTTGCAGATTGTGACGGTTTGCCAGAATCAGTAACCTGTGAAGAAAAAAAACGTGTCTTTAAATACAGCACTATGCTGATACAAATTCACTTTACCAGCCCAACTTTATTCCAAACATTTTGAAAGTCTCAGAAGACTTTCTGCTGGACTAGTTATCACCCAATTACACTGCTGTAACTCTGTGCCTGATTTGGTGTCGCGTGTCTTTTGCAGCTGGTATCATCACCGTATCATGTGCTCTGGCTCATTTCATGATCCATTAATGAAATGCGCAAGCCTGATCCAGATCATATGTGCCGTGTGATCAGACACGGCAATAATCAGCATAAAACCCATGACCTGAAGATGCCTGTCTGTGATGTGGCCTTTAAAAGAGTAAGTAAATCCCTCGCATTTTGACGGCTTGAACTGTCTGCAAGGCAAGTCGTGTA